TATTTTCTTCTTCTGAGCAGCGACGACAGCTTTGTCATTTTCAGTTGAAACACGCCACTTTTTAATCGTAATTCTGTAAGCAATGTGAATACACATCTCAAAACATCTGATCCATTTATGTAGAGGTGAGAGTCCATAGCTATAAGCTTCCTCATTTGACGCGGAGGGAAGTTTCTCTATGTCATTGAACTGTTTGGGAGTAGCCCCACAGACATAGCATCGCATAGATGACTTGGTTTCTGTCAGAGCATTCACGACTTTCTGATCTACCATGGTGAAGTGCAATTCATAGTTAATCTGTATATTGTCGTTCCTATTTAGATCTGCTGCCAGCTCATAATCAATGTCCAAAGATACATTCATAGGTTGCAATTTCTTGATTTCATCTTGAACAGATCTATACTCTTCCTGAGAGAGTTCAGTTGTTTTTTTCTTGAATTGAAGATGAATGGGTCGGCAAAATCTTGACGAAGAAGGAACCGGATTTTGCCACAAAATACTGTCTTTTACCTTCAATTGCAGCGGAACTAGAGTAGTGCAGAATATGCTGCTGTCATCCAAAGTACCTGCAGTAGAAAAATAAAATTATTATGTCAGAAATGCATAATTGTGTACAGCAAACATGAATTCAAAATTACTTTAAAATATCATCAGAATGAAACTTAAAATGTTATACTCATACATCATGTACGTCCAAAAGTATCTATATTATCCCAACATTTGGAGGCTTTGATTATGTATTTTATCAAAACATAAAATATAATTGCTCATAAGAAATATATATAATTATCAGGAAATAAATATTAATGGAAACCTAAGCTTGTTTAATTGTTGGAGCATTAAAACCATGTGTTTTTATTTTACTTAAGATATGTCCTTTTTTTTTATTTGTTTCATGAATTAGCTTTAATGATGATGTTGGTCTCTCTGATAAAAAAAAAATAAACGCATTTAGCTCTGTAGGGTGGAAAGGAGAAAACACGTACCTGCAGTAGACTTCTGTTTGTATTCACTGTGGCCTGATGAGCCGTCAAAGCCCCATTTGCACACCAATTCACAATTGAACTGTTCTTCTTCTTCTAAATTTTCAATGACTTGCGTGATAGTGTCCTTCTGCTCCTGAATTATCCGAAGTGCAGTGTGGTCTAAGAGGCTTTGTAGGGGTACTTTCCCAGAGTCTTCCGTGACTGAGATGTCATTGGGATAACATTTTTCCTTAGCTTCTCGTTATACGGTGGATAAATATCAGCATTTTTACCTTTTGCAGCAAGTCTGGTTGTTTGGTATGCCTGTTTTGTCATTCCTGTTTCAACTAAAAGTGACAAAGCTTCTTCACTTGAGAATTTTAATGGTTCTTTCTTTTTTTCTGATATCAGTTTTCTTATTTTAGCTGGTCTTGATGGTGTTAGCATTGCGAATTTCAACACATATTTCAAACTTGAATTTTTCTTATACACGCCTTGAGATGCCGCATATAGAAGTTCCTCTGGTTCCCTGTCTTCTAGAAGGTAGTGTGCTTTTCTTTTTTTAGAACGATCTGAGAGAGTGTCCCAATTCTTAGCTGGACGTCCCACATTGGATGCGCCCTGTGACGTGCCTGGCAAGTCTGAAGTTGGCTCTGTTTCTGTCCCGGTATCTGTGCTGTTTTGCTGTGCAAGAAATGTTTCTACTTCAGTATTGAATGTCAATGTCTGATTAAGCCAGTCCTCGTTTCCTTTCATGAAATATTCCTGGCGACGACCACACTTGTTCCATTTCTCTCGCATACGATACAGAAAGCGTCCAATAGTCTTTGACAAACTCTTGAGAAGTTTTTGTGGGATGTTTGACCTGTTACCCACATTATGATATGCACATAATGCATCAATGGATGTTTTGGATGCCAGTTTGATGTCTGAAATGAAGCCAACTGAATGCACAGCATGAAAAAGCTGTCTTCTTAATACCGCCATCGTTTATTTCAATCCAAGTTCTCCTAGAATGATATCATATATGATTGCGAATTGCATCAACGTGTGAAAGCAATTTTCACTACGCTACACGCTCTACACTCACGTAACCGTTGCCATGGTTACGCGGACGAGCGTTGAATCGGCTGTGCGTAAACAGTACAAAATTAAAAATGTACCGATTATGCCTCATAATAATCGATGGACGTGGGGGGAAAAAGCGCCTGCACATGCAGAGTCGCAAATTATGGCAAAAAGAAATACCATACATGAAAAGCTTAGGTTTGGGCGGACATTTTGAGATTAACATCACTGCGGGAATCGGCCGGAATCCTAATTAATATGCTACTTTTATATAAAAATTGCATTTTTCCCCTTTTTTTGTGAAATTAATTGCTCATTTTTCCCAAAATGAAGCTTCCATAAATTTGGTCATTGTATTTTCTAATTGGGTTACCAATAGGCAAGAAGTGCACGCAGTATCAAGTTGATTGCTTTTCCCTTCATACATTCTCAACACCTAGTGTAAAGTTACCTTTTTTATCATTTTTGGAGCAACATATAGATTTTCCCATGTTCGCAGGGGTATATGACACTTTTAAAACTCGCTAAATATTAAAATATGGGTGGAAAATTATTCTTTAGAATGTTTTCTTCCCAAAACGAATGAAAAAAATATAAAAATTCACATTCGCCAATTTTGAATTTTGGCACACTTTGAGGCGATTCTGGCCCACTGTGCGGCGGCACTGACTGCGAGCTGAATCGGTAATAATAGGCCTATAAAACGAGAAATATTGCACGCTAATCTTAGTTCCATTTCATTGGTTTAAGGTTTGAAAATTGAAACTCAATATTGTGTTAAAGTTATAACAGAAAAGATGATCTTTATTTTATAATGCCACCGGGGCGATTTTTAATTTTGCAATCGCCCTCGTGACGGGGGCGATTATGTAGCTCACGGGGGCGAATCGCCCACCGCCCCCGTGTATTTTGAGCGCTGGTTGTGTGAATGTTTGTCGTAGTAATTACATGCATAATAACCACACGATTTAAGCGCCCTTGTGTGTGTGTGTGTGTGTCCAAAAGAAGCCGTGTATATAGTAATGCAAACAAAACGCCTACCACAAACTCCAGTCGTTAAACTCAATAAAGGGCTTTATACAACACCTACGTGGATCCCTGTCATTTGATTGGAGGATTGTTGGTCACATGATATTCAATAGATGGTATATTGCACGGTCGTGCATTTTTGGTTATATGCGCCGTGCATTTTTGGTTATATGCAGACTGCGTACCTCTCTGCCGTGCGCGCGCGTATCCCTGCGTGTATCTGACGCGAAGGCAATCTGAATGTAATCGAGAAGGCTTGAATCCAACTTGAATTTATCTTTAATATAAGGAGTAAAGCATAATTTGTTGATTAACGTTCTATTAGATCTTCTTCGATGTTGTATAAAACAAATAATGAATGTTTTTCATTCGTTCAATGGTGCGAATATTTTCATTCGTTGAAAGATTAACATTAATTCTATTCAACTCGGCTGACGCCTCGTTGAATAGAATGTTAATCTTTCAACTCATGAAAATATTCGCACTATTGAACTCATAACCATTCATTATTTTTATAATATCTTACGAGCCGATGGCGTTCTATTATTTCAGGATTATGTATTTGAATTGTCAGTCGAGTTTGTCAGAATTATGGGTTTGACTATACAAGACGATCGCAAAGACCTTCGAAAAATTTACCAACAGCCAGTAACATCAATAGTCTTGTGCACCACACTTTGAAATGTGCAATGAGGCATTACGTAATCGACCATAATGTTGACAGTAAATGCAATCGGGTATTGCATTTTCCCTCAAGAAAATGTTCAATCATACTCATACATGCACCCTTAATGAAATGATTGCAAATATGTTTCTACACATCCCCTGTATGGAAAAAAATCTATTCCGTCATCAATAACGAGGAAAATAAAAGTTTATGCATTTTATGTACAGAGCAAATTGAAGAGGAGCTCGCAAGATACGTCATGTAGTGTTGCCAATTTGTGGTTGATTGATCGCTACTTCAAATAATTTAGAACTTTCTTATTTTCAATCGGAATTTGCTCAAACTTTTACTGACCTGTTCCTCTCATTTTCTGCTTTTATATAAACCAACTTGATATCAGGGTTCGACTTCCCATTTCAGTTGTTTTGTAGAAAATCATTGCGATCATGTAAGTGATATGTCCGGTATTGATAGCTAATAATATCTATAGTCATTTGGAAGCGCATCGAGACGTTATATTATCATAATGTGATTTGCGCTATACAAGAACGGTATACTAAATTATCATTATTACATATATTGTCTTTAATATTACTTTATGGAGCAGATGTTAATTCGAATAAACGATATTAGTTCTCAAGAACAGAAACGCACTTCCCAAGACTGACTGATATAATCATAACGTATTGCAACCTCTTGTAGTATACATTATAGAAGCTATTATAATATCATTGGACTTTATCTCTCTTTACCTCTTTCATAATAAAAATGCTATTATTATATCCTGTCTTATAAAGATAACTTTTGACCGTGTTTATCAAAACCATTATCAACAAATGATGAAAGGTCTCGTGAGGAAGAGGAGACCTTTTTTCCCCAACCGCAATTTATTACGATATGGCTTATCATGCAAATATCTAAAGTGCAAGTTTGATAAGGAACCAAATATTTCGTACCCCCCCCCCCCGACCCACCCCCATGATTGGCCACTGATGCGATGGGATATCCTTATTTCCTTAGAAGCATGTTTTTGTTTGTTTCATGAAACACCTCAACCTTAGTAGATCATCGTTATCGTCATCGTCGTCACCATCACGATCATCATTATCATTATCATCATTATCATCACTATTAGTATCATCAACACATGAGCGATCGTCATACATCGTATACCCCCCCCCCCACACACACACACACATACACCAGTTTAATCCAATTATTAACTCTCCCTCTTTCTTAAAGATTCGACACATTAATAGGAGTGTGGGTATATGAGGACCAGTTCCTCCAGATCTCCACCCATCTTCATCTTACTGTGTATGGCTTTGGAGAGCACAGCCGTCACCACCTCCTCCTCCACCTTCTCCTCCCCGCACCTCCTCCTCCTATCGTCCTCTCCTACGACGACGACCACCGCCACCATTACCAACTCTTCTTGCCCCTCCTACTCTTTCATAATCACCACCACCGTCATCATCATCACCATCACATCGTCACCACAGTCAGTATCATCGACAGATAAACCGTCACTACCATATCCTCTAATCCACCCCTCCAATATAAATTGCGAATTCCCATGGTTCTTTAAGCGCATTAACCATATTCTCACTCTTTCTTAAAGATTCGACACATCAATAGGGGTGCTGGTATATGAGGACCAGTTCCTGCAGATCTCCACCCTCCTCCCATCTTCCAACGTGTATGGCTTCGGGGAGCACAGCCACCGTCGCTTCAGACATGACCTCAACTGGAAGACATGGGGCATCTTTACTCGAGATCTCGGCGTAGGGGTGAGTGGTGTAATGGTTCAATTACTTGACTGAATTAAATCAAGAGGTTGAAGGTTCAAATCCAAGCCCGGTATTAATTATGTTCTTCGGAAAAACATTAGTCCACATTTGCCACTCCCCACCCAGGCGTAAATTGGTCCAACAGGAGCGCTACATAGTCTTGGTAGCCGGCCATGATCGGGTTAGCCTTATAGGCCCGAAATCACAAAGGAGGTTTGTCGACAAACCTAGGTTTATGTGCGTCATAATTGTTTATGAAGCGTTTTGACACGTTTCAAACCAAGTTTTGTCCGAACCTTGGTCTGAAACGCATCGAAACACGTCATATGACGCACATAAACCTAGGTTTGTCGACAAACCTCCTTTGTGAATTCGGGCCATACCAACAGGCAACGATTAGGCATTGTTTGCTATATAGAGGGCGCAAGTAGCTAAAAGTAGTGCAGTGGGGCTTAAAACCTATGCTTGAATACTAAAATAGTGTCTAGTTTTGAAGTTCACGAGACCCCAATCATGATATTTGTAAAAAATAAATAGCTTTTCTTGATGGAAGCGTATACTAAGACAGTACTCGTTGCGACTTTTGACATTCAATATTCTAAACATGTCGAATTTACGCCAATTTGATGCTCCTTATTTGCAATATCAAAAGCTTTACCACGACAAGGTGACTGTTTGCAATTCAAAATTCGAAGATGCAGACAAAGTAAGGACTTAACTTTGTACACGGAAATGACACGATACCTAAAATAATTGGACTTCAACAAAACACCCCAAGGATAGAAAACACTTTGTATTGTTGATACATAAAGTGTTACAACATCTATTTTACAATATCTTTTTCAAGGAGTCCAGGATCTATTATGATTTTATAGGCCCATGTATTTACACGGGCCTATAAAGTAGACCTATCAAAGTATAACCGATTCTTAGGTAGAAACATTAATTAAGGAATGAAACAAATACAAATATGTGTGGACTCAATGATGGGGTGGATTGGGGAATTAGCATTAAAATACACGTCTTGCCCTTTCGTTTTGATAATGATAACGATAATAGCCTAATAGTCCACTCCAAATTTTATTAAACCGAAACGGAAATTCTTTTTGCCCAATTGATCGTGAGCCCGGCAGCCACTGGGCAGCGCCAGATCGACGTTGCTCTCTCCTTTATTGTTGGACGCCAAACAAGGTAGCAACAACTCCCATCTTTTAACGTCTTTTGGTATGACGCGGCCGGGGTTCGAACCCACGACCTCCCGGTTGTGAGGCGGACGCTCTACTGACTGAGCCAACACTCCGGATTTCTTTCGGGAATAAATAATTTGTTTATATGATCAGCAGTCACGCAATAATAATTACAGCCAATAATTACAGTCCATTTACATTTCGTGCTGGTACGTATATATCAACTACATTTGCAAACTTGTGATAGTAATTAATAGAGGCTATTCTATACCTGTGATATTTAAGAACAATGAAAATGAATATATTGTAACGAAAACGGGTCTCTCACTCTCTGGGTAGCGTCACTTCTTCAGTCAGAACCCGCTCTTTCTCTGTACTCGACGTTCTCACAAAAATATATTGTGCAACAGACACTCTCAGATCAGCTTACAATCACTTAACTAAATTAAGTTACCAACACAGGAAATAATATGCACTTACAGATCAAGTAATGTTTCCAAGAACTTTAATAATCTGAACTTCCAAACAAATTAAGGCACAACTTCCTTCTACGGCAGCTCAACACAGACTGCCCACAAGATTCACCCCACGTACGCGCATCGCAGTGCGCGACGTAACCATGGCGACATCTACAATAACAATAAACAATTACAACGCCCTCTAAAGGCTAGGTAATGTAAATAACGATTTCGTTACACTACCCCGCCCCAAGTCTGGGCAGTCCTCTGACCAAAAACACAAAATCGTCTTAATACATGCTTTTGGCAAGAATGAGGCAAAATTACATAGATAAAACTTTTATACATTTATTTCAATTAATCATTCTGTCCTGCGAACAACATCTATAAATACATTTTTGCAATTAAAGGCCGAAAAATCCGCTGGAATACTTTCACGTATAGCAATAATTACATATAATTCTACAAGAACAAGAGTGGGAAAAGATCAAGTCCTTTCCAAATTTAAACTATTTCAACCTGTACTATCAGAATGTACGCAGTACCACTATCCTCGAATAAGCCTGCAGTTAAACATGAGGTAAGAGTTATGTACAAGTAATATATACACACGCATTATCATCTTTGGTGGAATAGATCATAGGAATTCATTCTGGCGTAAATATTCATATTTTCAATGATAGCGCCGTGAAAACTAAAAACAACAACAACATCAATAGTTACATGTAAGGAAAATTTAATCACTATAAGAGGAATATAAATGAGTTCCGCCATGAACTTCAATTGCAGCATAAAATACATACAAGAAAACAGGTTTCCAAGTAATTGCAATATTAATGATAACTGAATTGATATACATGTATGAGTTAAACTTCTGGTAAGATTGCTCCAGCCTTCAAGTTAATACTGTAATTGGTCCTGATCTCTTCCTCCACTACCAGAATCCCGTCACAAAAAGATCGTCTTGTGGTGACTTCAGTAATGCTGTTAACCCGGCCGACCAGGGCCCTTTCCAGCTCCTGTACGGACATCGGAGAACCTAGCGACTGATCCGATGCGAGGTGATGCAACTTTGTAGGCGCCGGCGAACTTTCCTTCTCACACCCATGCAGGAAAACCACGCTGTACTCTCGTACCTTTTCCTCCTGAAAGAGCTTCTTGCCCCCCGAGAACTGTGTTGAGGAAGACCACTCTTCTACCTGCAGAGGGGTGCCCGGAAGAGTGCGTCGCAGATCCAACCCCTGCATTGGCCTTCCCATCTGGATCTTCCGAAACGTTGGGGTTGGGCAGTCCTCCACCTCCTTCTGACTCTGACGATACCGACGAGGTCTCACTTTCCCTCTCCTTTAACAGCATGCTGAGATCTTTACCGGTCGGCCTCGATGCATTCCCGTTCTCTGAAGAGAGTGTTTCCTTCAAAGCATGAATACTCAGCTCACCTGCTGCTACAGGGGTTACCACAGGCGCGTCTTGCCGCTTGTCTTCTGTTGTCTTTCCCTCGTGTCGACTCTGTACGTGCCTCGTCAGGTTGTCCTTCCTAAAAAAAGACTTGTCGCACCCTCTGCATTTGTGTTCCTCCCTTCTTCGATGTCTCTCTTGAATGTGTCTCTCCAAACTTCTTTTGTGGGAGAAGTAATGACCGCAAGAATAGCACTTCACGTTCCCCCTGGAATGTCGCATACTGGCTTACTGTAAGAGAATCGACACAGAGGACATCAGGTTAACACAAAATCGAGATCATCTGGATTATCATTCATCACAGCTAATATAGTTGCAATGGGTTAACTATCTAATTAATAACTGTAGCGGATAGGCTCGTTTCTTTTCCTCGACGGATTTCTTCTAGGGGGTGGGACCGGAACTTTTCGTGGTGCCGGAACAGGGGGTGTGACAGGCTGGGAATCTTCCCTGTTCAAGTCCTCGATGTCCATATGCTGTGTCAGTTGGCTTTCACTTGCTTCTAACCAGGATTGAAGAGGTTCCCCCTTGTACGGCTTCAACCTGTCAACATGGACCACCTTCATCTTTCCATTTCTCTTCGCCTGTATTCGGCAAGTAACATCTGACAATTGCCGAATTAACAAGTAAGGGCCCTCCCACCTCCTCTGGAGCTTCGGGGACAAGCCTTTGGTCTTTGCCTTGTTGTAGAGCCACACAAAGTCGCCCACTGCCAAAGGACTACCCCCTGCCTTGGAGTCATAATCCTTTTTCTGCCGCCTAGCACTTTCAGTGCAGTTCTTACGGGCCCTTTCGTGAGCTTCCCGCATGCGTTGCCTCAAGGTGTATGCGTAGTCTGTCTCAATATCATGCTCCTCGGGGTCCTCTAGAGCCTCTGTGGTCAGGTCTATTGGCAAATGCACTTCCCGCCCTAACATCAGCATATTAGGTGTCTCCCTTGTGGAGTCTTGGGGAGCACTACGGTAGGCAAACACTGCGATCGCCAACTTCTCGTCCCAATCTCGTTGTCGCTTATGGGGTTCAATCATCATTGAGATCATGTTGAGCAGAGTGCCATTAAACCGTTCAATGAGTCCATCGGACTTTGGGTTGTATGGGGTGGTGCGTGTCTTGTGAATGCCAAGGATGCCGCACATTTCCTTAAAGACGCGAGACTCGAAATTCCGGCCCTGATCCGAATGCAATACTTCAGGAACACCAAACCTACAAACAAACTCGTTTACAAACTTGTCTGCAACCGTTACAGCGGTTTGATCTGGTATTGGGTAGGCCTCCATCCACTTGCTAAAATAGTCCCCTACAACCAGAATGTACTTGTTCCCTCTCTCCGTCTCGGGTAGCGGTCCAACTACGTCCATGGCGACACGCTCCATCGGCATTCCTACCGCATCTTGTTGCAAGGGGGCCCTCCGTTTCTTAGCTGGTGACTTCTTGGAGGCACAGACGTTGCATTGTCGAACTACGGACCGTATGTCTGCATCCATTCCGTACCAGTAGAATCTCATGCGAACTTTGGCTATGGTTTTGTTCATCCCTAGATGTCCGCTGGACTTCCCACCATGCAACTCTTTCACGACTTCTGACCGAAGTTTGGTTGGGAGGACAACATGCCAAGTGATCTTCTGACCTTGATCACATTCCCACTTTCGGTGAAGAACTCCTTGCTTGACAGCTAGTTGATCCCACATTCTCCAGTAAGACTTTTCGACACTAGACTTTGATGCCATTGAAGACCATTCAGGCCTGTCTTTTGATTGTTGTTTGCCGTTCAAGATCCACTTGATTGATGAATCTTCAGTTTGTTCTTGGTTCAGGTGTGCATTGGTGATACTTGGTGCTAGGGTAACCGCATTTACCTCTGCACGGCCATTTCCAGGTCCTGCTTGGACTTCGAAGC